TAGTAGGAGGCTGGGGAGATGGCTCAGCGGTTAAGAGCACTGGCTGCACTTTGCGAGGTCCTGAGTTCAATTCCCAGCAACCATGTGGTGGCTTACAACCATCTGTAATGATTTCTGATGTCTCTTCTTATGTGTAGGTGTACATGCAGATAGAACACTCATATACATCAAATAAATAAATAAATAAATATTAAAAAAAGAAAATAGTAATAGTTAAGATTAAATTATTAGACTTTAAAACAAAGCAATTGAAGAACAGAAACCAATCACAAAAACCAAAACCAACCCCCCACCGTGTGTGTGTATGTGTGTGTCCGTGTGTGTGTGTGTGTTTACATTAAATTGAAAAGAAGACAAAACCAGTCTAGATGTTGTAAGTCAGAAAAGCAGTTGTCAAGACTACTGACAAGAAATAGAGAGACTTTGGAGGTACAAGATGTTTTCTAGAATATGGTCTGTGTATTTATAATGCTGTATACACATATAAAATCTCAACATTTTAGTACTTCTCAGTATGCAAATTATACCTTAATAGGAATGTTTAAAGACACCAACTTGACTGTATGCTATATTTAAAATTTAACAACTAGCTAGACTTTGAGAAAATTATATTTGAATTATATTGAAACAATAGGAAGTTAGTCAAAGTTTAACAGTAAATGTTCATTAAATAATAGTACAGGGTCTTCAGGGAAGCCTCAGCAGTTACAAGTGCTTGCTGATCTTGCAGACAACCCAAGTTTGGTTTCCAGCAGATGTAAGTAGGCTCACAAATGCCCGAACTCTAACTCCAGGAGATCTACTGTTCTCTTGTGACCTCCCTGGCATCTGCACACACTTGCACACACCCCTACTGGTGCACACATACATACAAATAACTGAAAATAAAATGAATCTTTTAAAACGCCCTAAAGCTGTCAATACAATCTTCACAACTTAAGTATATGCTTCTATGTATTCAAAGCTGCCACTCGCAAGGGCTTCACTAGGTGCAAATATGCTCCCACACACACAGAGCTAGTGTCTGCTGCTGCTGCTGCCTTCATCCCTTCTGTCCTATGCATCCATTCAGCCCTTCCCCGACAGGACCCAGCCTGTGCTCTCCTGATGACTTGGACTGCCTCTGATTTCTGTAATATCGATGCCTTCCTTTCAGTCATTCCATCCTGCCCAGCCTCACCACTTCAGACTGAGTTGAACTCACTTTTCCCTGACACGTCTCCACTTTCTTGCTGCATGACATTTTTCAAATCTGAACTTGATCTCATAACTTCTCTATTTGAAAAAAAAATCTGTAGTGTCTTTTTGGCTATTCTGGACTCTGAGTATAAATTTTCAAACACTGTATAGAGGACACTGAGGTGTCCGTCTGCTTTCCACCAGGTCTTCTGATATCCTGGGTGACACACGGTCAGAGTGCACTTGCCTCTGCCTATACGGCACCTGCCAGTGCACAATGACCAGTTGAGGGGGCCACCCTCTCTATGTATAGTCTTTTTGAAGTCACCAGTGCACAGTGACCAGTTGGGGGCCACCATCTCTATG